TATAAAGTTGCTAATGAAAAGGATTAACCAGTTACCGAGCTGCGAAACTGTATCTCAGCCTCCTGATGACCAGAGTGAAAGGAACACTATAAACACGTAGCTCTTCCTATGGAACGAACGATGGCACACTGGCTCTTGGAGGGCCAGTTTGTTCTGCCAGGATTGTTAAGGCAGTGTCCTGCAGGAGCAGGTGAGTTGTGGCCCTGGGAGGATCAGTGTCAACCAGGGCAACGTTCAAGGGCGTCTTGGTTGGAAGTCACCTAGGATGCAGCTGTTCGCTGGTCTACCTTGAAAAGTTCTTGGAAGAATGGACAAATATCATGTCTCCTAGAGAAATTTTCCTAAATGTCCCTCTCTCAACCGAAAGTTCTTTGTGTTGTTGGGTGTTCGTGTGTCTGGCTTTTAACGAGAGCCAGTGACATGAGGGCAAAGCAGAGGTGGTTGTTACTGGTCAAAAGCTAGCCACATGTTTTAGGACCAGACAAACAGGTAGTAGTGTAAATATCATATTAGGAAAGTTGAGAAAGCTAGCAGGCAGTGTTTTGCCAGGGTGACAGACAGCTTCCCTTCCCTTAGGTGTCCTGTGAGACAAACCTAGGATGTCTGTCAGAGAGAAGTCTTGCTTATTCCAGTGCTAGGATAATTGTTCATTTGAATCTCCAATGTTCAACATTGTTCTAAACATTTGCAAGTTTCTTTGTTTCCACACCTATATGAAAACATCTATTCCTCAGCAAAGTGAACTGTGGGGTGGAGGCAGGTTGGAAACTAGGTTGGGACTAGATTGTGTTGGAGAACTCTTAGTAATTTCAACTTTATTCCAAAAGTTGTGGGTACTCATTGATGGTTTGAGAGTAGGAAATACATAGTAAGGAGCACATGATGCCTAAATGGTTAATCCAATGGCAGTTTATGGAGTGAAGCTGAGGGGGAAAGGCCAGATGGGGAAGGGTCTTGTAATACTTCTAAAGCCTGCACAGGGCAGTGGGTGTGAGAGTCAGATGCTGACACTCTGTAGAGAAACAACTGGCAGGTCTTTGTGGCTGAACGTGGGAGCTTAAGGAAAGTGGAACATGGCCCAAGTGATTAAAAGGACAATAGAAACTGCAGAAACAGAGCAGGTGTCAAGAGGGGAGGATAGTGTGGAGGAAATAAATTTGTTTCCAGGGCATGTTGATTTGGGGATGGTGACAGGATATTTCAGTGGGGTGATCAGTTAGCCAAATATGAAGGAATGAAGCTGAACATAGACTTAGAAGCCACCTCAATAAAGGAGATTCCTGGTGGAAGTTAGTCATTTAACCTATGAAATCTGCTTGCCAAAAAGAAGAACTTGAATCACCAGATCTGACTAATAGGATGTTAGCTGGTGCTTTCTACATACAGATTGCAAGGGGTAAAAAAAGAGAGGAAAAAGGAATCTAAATATTTTTTTAAAGATGTAAAGAGCCACATCAATCAAGTGTGACTTGTGAACCCTTTTAGGATCCTGATTTGAACAAACTAACTCTTCAAGGAATTAATGAGACAATGGAGGCAATTTGATCTAATTGGGTGTTTGCTGATATAAAGGGATTCTTTTCTACTTTTAGACACAGTAATATTTTATGGTTAAGGCATTCGTAAAGAGAGACCTTACAGTTTTTAAAATATATACTGCAGTATTTACAGATAAACTGATATGATTTCTGAGATGTGCTTCAAAGTAACCCAGTGGGAGAGAGCATGGGAATAGTGTGGTGCAGATGAACCTGGAGAGGCATGTGGACAGGCCATAAAGGGATGGTTTGGGAGCTTGGGTGTTGGGACCTGGGGATGGGGGACATTGTACAAATCTCTCTATAATTATGTATGTTTAAAATGTTCTGTAATAAACAGGAGAGAAAGAAAGAAAGAAGTTCACCCCCTGGAAGTCAAAAATGCTTTCTTGTGAAAGGAAATGGCTGTAGACAATCCTAGGACATTCTCATTTAAGGTGAAATCAAGACACGAGGAACAACAGCTAGAGTGAATGTAATATACTGTATTGGCAAAAAGCATTGCTTTGGAATTCCATAAATGTAGCTTGCTAATTCTTACTAGCTCTGCCATCTTGAGCACATCAGTTACCTTTGTAAGCCCACAAGCCATGGTTTTCTTATCTGTAAAGTGGGGATAATAATTTCATCGGCCTCATAGAGTTAATACAAAGGTTTGGTGAAATGATCCATACAAAGCACCTTATATTCTGCATGACACAAAATAAGTGCTCACTAAACATTAGCAATTTACATTTATTTCTGATTAGACTCTTCGTAAAAGATAAGCGAAGAACCATATTATGCAGTATGATAGAAGCAAGAGAAAATTTTGATGAAAGGGCAATGACAGTGGTGTCATGTTACAATCAAAGAGTAATCTGGAGGTCACTGATGACATCAACACGTTAATTTCAAAAAAAAAGGTGTGGTGGGTACACTACACCATGACAACAAGGAATTAGCCACGAGCGGTGGTGAAGCAGTGCATGCTGTGCAGTCCTCAGGTGGTGACAGAAGAAAGGAAAGGGCTAGAGCAGCGAAGACAAGGGTGTTCTTTTCCAAAGCAAGGGAACTCTTTCTTGCAAGTGGCAGGAAGAGAGGAAGGAGCCTACTGGGAGGGAGCAGCCTAGGACACTGAGCCAGGAGCAGAGCACCCTCAGCTGAGGAAGGCAGATGGAAGGAAGGCTGGCCCTGTGGTGAGGTTAGAGATTTGGGGAAGCTGATTTACAGGGAAGAATGAAAACAGGACAAAGCCATGGGAAGAACCAGGGTTTCTGAGGACACTAGAAGGGACTGTGAAGGAGGAAAAATAATGGAAGGTAAATAGATAGGACTGGGAAGGAAGAAGCACAGAGGAACACAGGAATGAGAGTAAAAGAGAGAATAGGCGAGTAAAGGGCTTGACATTTGGGCTTAGTGGCTGAGGTGACAAACCTGGTAATACGCTAGAGCAGATTTATGAAGGGCAGACTGGGGTCTCAGGCAGGCAGCATCTGCACTCTGCCCCTTGCAGAGATTGTTGTGTGGCCTTTGATGATCATCTCCCTTTGGGTGGTTGGAGAAGGGTGTCAACTGATACCCAGTGCTAACCTGCATCCACAGTGGCCCGTGGTGGAATAGAGACCTCCAGCTTCCTGGGGTGGAACTGCAGGTGCTTGTTGAAACGAGAGGTGAACACTCCCCAGAGCTGAGGGAAAAACAGGGCAGGGCAAATCCAGCCAGTGAGATCCAGGGCCCAGCCGAGACACGCTGAGATGTGAACTCCTCCCTTTGTTACTGTTGAGCCCTTCTCTCTGCTTACACCCTCTGCCGCCACTCCCCTCACCCATCTCAGGGGCCTCATCCAAAAGGACAAGGTGATAGCATTTGGGTTTGGGTTTTTTTTTTCTTTCCATTTTTTACCCCATCACACAGGAAAAAAACTGGAAATTTAGTGACTTGCTTGGTGTAAAACTCCTGGGTCTAAATGTCATGCTCTTTTGACAAATGAGATTAAGAGATGGGAAGAACATATTTGAAATCTAGGTTCATCAGGATTTTGATGAATCTAGGTTCATCAAAATAAGTAGTCCTCCCTTATTTTGCTCTTCATGGTTTCAGTTACCTGTGATTAACCACAGTCTGAAATATTAAATGGAAAATTCTAGAAATAAACAATTCATAACTTTTCAATTGCAAGTCATTCTGAGTAGCATGATGAAATCTTGTACAGTCCCAGTCCTTCCCATCAGATGTGAAACATCCCTGTGTCCAGCGTCTTCACACTGTACATGCACCCCAGCCGGGAGTCACTTAGCAGCCATCTGGGTGATGAGATTGACTATGAGGTATCACAGTGCTTGTCATCAAGTCACCTTATTATTACTTACTAACGGCCCCAAAGCGCAAGAGTGGTGATGCTGGCAACTCGGACATGCCAAAGAGAGGCCATAAGTGCTTTCTTTAAGTGAAAAGGTGAAAGTTCTCAACTTAAGGAAAGAAAAAAATCGTATGCTGGCATTGCTGAGATCTCTGATAAGAATGAATCTTCCATGAAATTGTGAAGAAGAACAAATAAAATTCATGCTAGTTTTGCTGGCTCACCTCAAACTGCAAAACTGGGGGCTGCAGCACATAATAAGTGCTTAGTTAAGATGGAAAAGGCATTACATTTGTGGGTGGAAGGCAAAAACATGTCCTGCTTGACCTCCTATACTGCACCAGGAAGCCCTGAGCCTGGGGGGTGGGCGACAGCAAGCCATTCACCTTAGGTGAGGGGTGGTGCACCAGCTTAGGAACAGGTGTGGACTAAAATGTATTAAAGTTGCTAGAGAGTGCTGTTATAATTATTTGATTATTAGTTATTAGTCTCTTACTGTGTCTAATTTATGAATTAAACTTCATCGTAGGTATGGATGTTTAAGAAAAAAAAAAACATTTTACATAGGAGTCAGTGTCGTGTGAGATTTCAGGCACCACAGGGGCCTTGGATCATATCCCCAGGTGGACCAGGGCAGACTACTGTATTTATGTATCATTTTAAACTCAGGTATGGCCTACCCTTCTTTTTGTCTCCCCAGATTAATTTCTTCTCTTCTTCCTCACCAGTACAATGTTTAGCAGGGCACATGGATGCTAAAATAAATCCTGTATCTCAGCCTCCTTTGCAGCTAAGCACAACTGAGTTGGCTCAACAGTAGGTAAGCCAAAGTGTTGGGTGTGAGCTGCTGAGGAACTCCCAGAAAGAGAGCAGGTAGGTGCCCTTCACCCTTCCTTTATTTCTTCCTCTCATGCTGCTGGCTGGAGTTCAAGTCTATCCTCCTTCTCAGACCACAAAGGCAGTGGTACAACCTGGGGAGAGGGGAAGTGAAGCTGAAGAAAATCGATCTCTGCAGATTTGGAGTGAGACACCTATCAGCCCAACACTGTTTGTACTTGAACTTATACAGAATAAGGATAAAACCTCTATTTGGTTAATGCTAATGTTACTTGAGGATTTTCTGTTATGTGCAGCCAACCTAAATTCTAATTGATATACAAGTATTAAAATTAACTAGTCATTGGTTTAAAAACAAGATTAAGTAAAAGGGACTTATAAAAACATAACAAACTCACAGAAGTAAAATTGTAAGCCAAATTCTCATCTATTAGACCAAACCTGTAACCATTTTTTACACCTTTCTAACAAGTATTTATTATTAATTAAGCTATGATCCAAGATCTTAGGGTGGGATGCACCCAGGTCCTCCTTCACCTCCCTGGAAGAAGGATGGAGGACAGAGGACAGGTGGGGCGCAGCCAGTTCAGATCTTCCCAGGAAACGTGCATGCTGCCCCACTGTCATCTGAGGCCGACAGCCAGGAAATGGGACAAAGGAACTTGTACACAAGCCAGTACCATTCATACATGGAGACATCACCAGCTTTAGCGGTCATGGCCTTCTCACAGAGGTGGAAATCCAGGTGGTTCTGCCAGCAGTTCCTGGTCTGGTTCTGGTTGGGGATGCGACTGTCCAAAGGGGCAGTCTTGTAATTTTTCATTTTGGTCTTGATATCTTCTATCATGTTGCCGGCTCCTAAAGACGCCCAGAAGTCACTCACAGTTCAATGTCCAAACCTATAACAATGTTTGAAAAAGTATATTCAGTGACTTATTAAGCCAGTTTTATTGTTGCAGGCCCTGTATCAGATTCTGAGAATGCCATAATGAATAAGCCATCATTCTTGCCCTCCTGAGTGTCACATCTGGGGAAACTATAGTAGTTATGAGTAGGAATAAGCAGAGGATGCTATGGGGGTGCACAGGCTCCTCCTGCAGCCTGGAGTAAGCATGCTAGCGAATGCTTTCTCAGAGCTGAGGCCCCACCTGAGACCTGAAGAACCCATAGCAGTTTGGCAGGCAAAGCAGAAAGAAGCAGATGCTGGGCAGTGAGACCTGCTGGTGCAGAAACTTGGAGCAGAGGGAGCAGAGACTTCTGGGGGGTGGGTGCAGGAAGGGCAATTAAAGATGAGAGTTGTTCCTGCAGAACTATGCTGGAACATGACGCAACAGCACTCTATTACATGGCAATATAGAGGCCTAAAGTGATAAGGAACGAGGCTTAAAGAGTGTCCCTTTCTAAAGAGTGTAAGAGGAAGTCACCAACAGACTTGTAGAAAAGGACTTGCTCGGCTTCCCTTTAGGCTTAGTTGGTGTTGCAGACAATTAGCCAACATGTAGTGCTACCAGTTCACACAACTGTGTGACACCCTGAGGGACAGAGTGGGTGCTGGGGAAGGGGCTGAGAGAATGGGGTCTCCCTGAGATTGAAGAGCCAATATAATAACAGCGAAGTCATGGGGGAGGATGGAGGCTGTGGGTACAGGCTACACATGGACATACTTCATAGAACTGGGCAGTTCCAGGCTATGTCCGTACTGAACATGGAGGGGAGGCAAGACCTGGGGTTGCAGTGACAGCTCCAGAGTGCGGGCAAAGGGGCAGAGACAGAGTTTGCTTGACAAGAGCTGGAGGAATGCAGATACTAGCCCAGGTCCAAAAGTGTGTATGTTGAGGCAAAACAGAGAGTACTCCTTGGAGAAGACTATGGAGGGGGTCCTGTCATGCAGGGAGAGACTGAGGATTGGTCAAAACTCAAACAAATGCACAGGAAAGTTGGGGCAAGGCATTAGGCATATCACACAAAATAGCTCTTCAGCCAGGGTTTCCACTGTGGGCTTCCAGGTTGGCTTGTTTGTTAAAATATTTTTGTGGTAAAATACACATAATATAAAATGTATCATTTTAAGTATTTTAGAGTGTACAGTTCATAATGAAAAAATACAATAAAAATAGAACAGAAAAATTATAAAGTGTATAATTCAGTGACCTTAATTATATTCACAGTGCTGTCAGCACCATTCATCTCCAGAATTCTTCATCAGCCCAAACTAAAATTCGGTGCCCATTAAAAATAACTCCCTGCTCCCTCTCCCCCAGCCCTTGGCCCTGGTAACATCTATTCTACTTTTTGCCTCTATGAATTTGACTACGCTAAGGAACTCATATAAGTGGAATCACACAACATTTGATCTATTGCATCTGGCTTATTTCACTTAGCATAATGTCTTCAAGTTTCATCCATGTTGTAGTAAATGTTACACATTCCTGTTTTTTAAGGCTGAATTATATTCTGCTGTATGTATATACCACCTTTTGTTTGTCCACTCATCCATGGACATTTGTGTTATTTCCACCTTTTGGGAGCTGCCCTGTTTTTTAACACCTGTGGTAGAGACTTAATTACAGTGGCAAGAGATAGGAGAAGAGTTAGCAGGGAAAGGGAGAAACCCAGAGCAGTACAGGGATGTAATCTGTTCTCTCCTTTTACGAATGTGGCAATCGAAGTCTATAGACAGTCCGAATGGCTCCGAGTCACAAAGAACTCAAGTCTCCTGCTTTTCCTTCCAGTGCTGTGTTTATCATCCCAGTAAACATGGTAAACCAACCTAAATAGAACATGTTTAGCAGCCTAGTCTGAATTCAGCTGGCTTCCATGACAGGAAGGGAATATGGGTAAGGCCAGACAGACAGAGCCTGAAAGTCTGAGAGCAGAGGCTAGAATCGGTGGCACGATGCCCCACCAGCACAGACATGAAGCAGGAGAGACTGTTCCCAGGCAAAGCTGTCAAAGTGTTTTGGGGTCTCACCTCACTGGGTCGTTGATCTGTGTCCCTTTCTTCCTTTGCTGTTCACGTTCTCCTCTCTCAGGTGTCCATCTCGTTCCCTTTCTTGGTCTCAGCAGGGTAAGAACAATCTCTGCTGAGCAGGGAAAGATGATTCAGGTGTTTGTTAGCTTAAAGTATCACCTACACCTCTCCCCGGGAGATTTATATTTTAAGGAGCAACTTTAGAATATTAGTAAAAACTTTAGGATTCAAAAGAATGGATCTCTAATGGTAGAGTGGCAGAGGGTGAGGGTGACCTATGCAGGCAGGTGTTACCATGCCCGCTTACTGGCGGGGTTTGTTAGAAGGCTGCACAGAGGGGCACCTGGGCATTGCCTACCTGGCTCTCCTTCCCTCGCAATAAATGTAGCCTCACTCACAAATGCATCTGGGCTCTGTTTTTTTTTTCTTTCTCAGAACTCAATTTTTTTCTTTCTATTTCTCTTGATTCCTTGAGAGAAAATGCATTTGTATTTATTTCACCATCCAGAATAGCTTTCTGCACATAATAAGTTCTTAAACCTGCGAGGATGATTAACCACTGGCCAAATATTTCAAACTTAAGTGAAGGAGTCAAGGATAGTAGATGTGCTTTTTTGTTGTTACTTTATCCTTTGAATTTATCATGGGCCAATAGTAACAAATAATATTGGCATTGAAGAATATCTTCCTCTTTTAACCTTTGATAGTAGGCATTGAGCAAGATATATTTCATTAAATATCTTCATTGTTCTTATCCATTTTTATTAGTTTGTCATCTCATATGCACTCAAATATCACCTTGCTCTTGAATGATGTGCAGAGCACAACAAAATCTAGAGTGTACCAGGATCTTCTGTGCTTATGACATGATTATTTTTTATACAGTGCCCTAATTTCCTCTAATATCCACTATGATCCACAAACAAATGCAAGTTTACATGAACCCCCCCTTAGAGAATCAGATTTTATGAAAATAATTTATTTCCTTCATATACATGTATATGATTTCCATGAAAGCTGAATGTCTCCAAGTCCAAAGCACAACATTGAGAACAATCCCAGTAACTGTCCACTGTTTTAGGGTTAGTGGTATGCATTATCCTCATTTGATCCTCTCATCAGCACTAAGAGGTGGTTGTGATGGCAAATCATCGGCAAATTTATACACATGGAAACTAAGTCTCAGATATAACTTGCAAAAGGGATAAAACTAGCTGACTTTGACCTCAGCCTTTTCACTCCAAATCCTACCCTCTTTCCACTACATTCTGTGCTAGTTGTCACTATCTGCATATCTCTACTGGACCGGCAGCTTATTTTCAATGCCCAATTGACTTGAAATCACAGCTGAGATCAACAAGGTTATCAAATGACAACCTTAGATCGCATCTTAACCATACTTCTTTCAAGTGGTCACCTATTCATATGTGGAAATAAGGCTGAACTATATTTCATTGTGGATATACTCTTAAAATTAGCTGTTTTAAAAAACATTTCACACCCTGGCTGTGTAGCTCAGTTGGTCAGAGTGTTGTCCGTACACACCGAGGGTGCAGGTTTGATCCCTGGGGAAGACATGGACAAGAATCAACCAAGGACTGTGTAGGTAAGTGGAACAACTGATCGCTCTGTCTCTCACTGTCTCTCTAAAATCAATTTTTAAAAAATCCTTTACCACTTCATATAGTTTGGAAATGAGATTTTTAAAGGTGTAAAAGCTGAAAAACAGTTTGCTAAAATGTAGGTGTACTTATAGGATTTTTACCACAGTATCTAAAATGTTTCCAAAACTCAAAAGGACCCAAGCCTACAGATACAAGAGAAGCCATTTCTCCAGCATTTATTTTTCCTTTATATTTGTTCATAATAATCATTTGGTGTGTCCTGTAAACAGATATGATCCATATTGTGAGAATACTTTTCTTTAGAAAGAGTAAGTTATGATAATGTGTACTTTCTGCTTTAAATACTTTAAATGCATTACTTGTTTTTATTCATATATAATCCCATTTATTTTTGCTTATTTTACTAAAGAAGGAAACTTTCCCCTCCCTTCTCTTAAAAATTTTTTATTTCTTACTAAATTCTACTCTCTTCTACCAAAATGTAACAAAGTCAACAAACTGGTTACACAGTAATGAGAAAACCAACAAGGATCTCCTTCAGAGTATGGCCAAAGGGAAACAATTTGTAGTAGTTAAGATTTATTCCCCTATCCTACCCTCTGAATATTACATCTCTCAACAAAGAATTCTTGTTTAACTTTCTTGAAAAGTGTGTAGCAGGACGGTGTTTAGAAATAGTACAGATCTAAATGTACACATGTGAGTTGTTGCTAGGTGTGTGAGAACACAAAGAAAACAAGAGTTTCAATTTGTCACAATGGCATCTCACATTTAAAAAGGAAAAATATTAAGAGTATTAGGATTTTTTTAAAAGTCAGTATCAGAGCAATGTCTTAACACTGCTAATTGCTATCCTAAAAGTTAATAATAAACAAGGAACCAGAACTCTGAGCTTCCACTCCTTCCCTCAACCATTACTGGAGCTCAGTTTTAAAGTTTCAGAGTCTGAGTTTTACATGAACATTTCTGCCCATTTGCATTAAACAGCCAGTCACTGTTTCAGAATTTCACTTCATAAACCACACACACTACTTCTGCTAAAAGATATTTTTAGTAATTGTGACAAAAACATCATTGGTTTGAGTAAAAATAATTATATCATGTTTTCTTAAAAATATGTTATTTTTATAGAGAAACTTGTAACTGAGAGGAGGGATTCAACACTGAAAAATACAGCAACATAAAATGAATCTAATATTAGTAGATACCTAAGGCTACTCGTTATTGTTGCTTTCCTGTGCCCATCACTGAGTATTCTAAAAGGGTTGTTGGGCTTCTGGCCAGTATTGCCAGGACCATCCTGGGAACTGGGGACAATGGCAAGCAGGATGCAGCCCCTGCTGCGAAGGCGTGGGATGTAACTGACACTGGAGGATGACAGGCGACAGCAGCATAAGGCTATGGGTGCACAGTACAGGCAGGGGTGCAATGGCGCCCCTAATCCTCACCTTGGGCAAATAGGCAAGGGAAGGGAAGACAGCCCCCTCCGATGAAAGGAGGAGGAGACAGGGGAGTGTTGCAGAAGCTAGAGAAGATTGGGCACGTCTAGAGAAACGAAAGCATTTCAGGTAAATTGGAACTAGGGGAGGGATGGGAGGAGTGGCCGGTACTAAAGATCCAGCTGGGGACAAGACATAAACGAAAACAAGAATAGGGGGACCTTATAAACCAAATTTAAGGAGACAGAATTTTATCCTGAGGGAAACAGAGACCCCTTAAGATTTAAATGAGAGCAACACGATCCGATTTACTTTTTAAAAATCTGGTTGAAAGGTCGAGATGGGGGAGGAGCAAAGCCTGACGTCGAGAGACTACTGAGCAGGTAACTAGGGTAAACCAGGGGGAAGACGCTGGTGGCCTGCACTGGAGAAATCTGAGCGTGGCAGGGACGACAGTCAGACGACAAGATGTAGGGAAGCAAAACGGATCCTGAACTTAATGTCTCGAGGATGGAGTGAGGGGCTGGAGACCGACTCGGGTAATGCAGTTGCTAAGATGGGAAACACGGGAAGTTTGGGGGGAATGTGTGGAGTGCCGTTTAGTATGCACATCAATACTGCGATTTCTGTGGCACTCAAATTAAATATGCACGGACCTCAGGGAAGGCTGGTCTGCAAGCAGGATAACGCTCTGCCAGGGGCTGAGACGACCCAGGAAGGCACAGAGAAGGTGGTCTGGACAGCTCCCCAGGGGATTCGCCCCCGGAGAAAGGGGCAATGCTTGTATGCCACTTTTCTTCAAATACACACCGAATCACACGACGTGCTTCCAGATAGGTAGGCGAGTGCAATGCTCTAATTTTGCAGGTGGGGGAAATGAGACCTCGGGGTAGGGGGCTTGTTCATGATCACCTGGTGGTGAATCTTGACCTCCAGTCGGCCATCCAAGTACACCCGCTACTCCGCCTTACTCATTCACTCCGTGTATCCGATTACCGACATATATTCTCAGATATTTGGTGGTATAGATCACAGAAAAGGATTTTTTAGTGTTTTGTGTTCCTTTTTATCAACCCCCAAGAAACATTTTATGATCAACTTTCAATTTTAATACATGTCACCAGAAATTAAATATATGTATCCACTGTCCTAAAAACAAACAAAAAACTCGAGCAGGAAAATTTTAGAATATATCTGTACCAGTAAGTACACAAGTTCTTCAAGTTCTCTGTGCTGCATAAACAAATCTTGACAGATTATGGTTTTAGGCTTGTGAACTCCGCACGTCCCTCTCCGGTTTTCCAATCTAGAGGACTTGCCTATTGGGCCCCCCTGCGCCGTCCCTCCCGCTCCCCATCTAACCCCCGCCGGCCTCGCCACCTGCTCCCGGCGCCTCACCCTCCTCCCATCGGCTCGCCCGCGCGAGTTCTCACGCGCGGCCCGCGCCGCTCCAGCCGCTTTCACTTCACGGAGCTTGGGAGTCGGTGCCCGCCAGCTCCTAGCCAAGCTCCGCAGCCCTTAGGGCACTCCCGCTTTTCCCCGCCCGCCTGCAGGCACCGCGCCCCCCACGAAGTTCTCCCTCCCACACCGCCCCCTGCGAGGACTTTGGAGGCGGTCCTGGGCCAGCGGGCGCTGATTGGCTGCCTCCTCGGCGCCCCGCCCCTGTGCACGCGCGGGCCGTGGTGCGGGCCGGGCGGGCACGCGCCGCGCGGCCCCGCGGACTGAGCGTCCGTGACCCGCGTGCGAACCCCTGTGTCCCGGTCGGGGTGTTCGCAAGGTATGGGCAAGCGGCGGCGGCGGAACGAAGAGGGCTGGAGGCTCGCATGGCGCCGGAAGTCCTCTCTGGCCCCGGGGGCGCTCCCCAGCCACCGTCTTCCGGACGTCCCACGGGGACTGGGAGTTGCCAGAGGGGCCGGGGCCGTCGCGGTCGCCAGCCCGGTAGCCCGGATGTCTCTACCCTCCGCGGCTGGGCCGCTCACGCTCTTATAGGCCCCGGGAGGAGGCTTGTCTTAAAGGGACAGCGCCTCGTTCAAGCCGGAGGGGGCGGTGCGTCCTGCCCTTGTATGCGACCCCTGCCCCAAAGGGACGCCACGGCGCCCGCCTTGCCGAGCCCCCTTCTCCAGGTGGGGCACAATTGGAGCGCGGCGCGCCGGGCCTGGGGACAGCCGCAGATGGCTGCCTCGAGGCCAGGTTTTTCCCCAGCCGCGCCGCGGCCGGTGGCGCCGCACGGGGCCGGGAGGCGCCGGCCTGTGATTGGCCGAGGCCGTCGTGAATGCAGGACATTGTCTGGTCGCAGCAGTCTCTGTCCTTGCCCGCCGTCCTCTCTTAGATCAAAATGGGTGCGGAGCAAGGTCCCTGGACGGCCCTGGTTCCCACTCTCCTGGGAATTCCCTGGATAGTGGAAAAATATAACTTAAAAGATTGTGGACTTTAAGAATGGCATAAAGGTGCTCACAAAATCATTATCAGCAAGGAAATAATTGTGTTTGACATAAAGATTTCCTTCCTTTAATATTAAAAATATTAAAGTAATTGAAAAAGGTCAACTGTTATAAAATGGCTTAGTTTTGTCTTCAAGATTTCTTTAATTAGGGTCTATGATAATTCATCTGACTATCCCCTTAAGAATCTTTTAATATATATATTTCATATATATATGGAATCACCTTGTTCCGTACAGTACAGCCTACTTGGGTTTCAGTTTCCACGTGTGTAAAAAGACGCTGGACTGGCAGTTTTCCAAGTTGTCTTCCTTTGTTAAAATAACTCTAATTCTAGACTTAAAATCCTGATATATCATTCTATGTATTGGCTCATATCTCAAGACCTTGGGATAGATGAGACCTTTTAAAGAGCCTTGAGGACACCATAGTTCTCCTCAGACTGCCTTTGAAAATACGTGGGAGTTATTTAAGCAGAGTTGTAATCCTTTAACGTGTGATTTTGGAGTAAAGGGAAATGAGAGCAGTAGAGAAATGTATGGAGATCAATCAGTTATTTGTCAATGTGAAGAGCAAAGTTTTCTTTCATCTTAAAAAGTTTTCCAGGTAATGGGATATTATAAAGAATAATAACCATCTTTCCTATTTTGCCCCTATTATCAAAGGAGTAGAAAAATGGCAAGAAAAATAAAAGATACACAGAAATATACATGAAATAAAAGATAAACAAATAGAAAATGTTTGAAGAGTTTTGAAAACAAGTTGATATTTGCTTTTTTAAAAACTGGGAAAATTATTGTAGGATTAAGAGCACACTTGTGTTGATATAGATAATATTTTATAGCTTCAGTTACATGCCCTTTTCAACATTAAAAAAAATCAGTGATTTCATTTAACTGAGCAATCAACAAGGATTAGAGACTTGGAAATGACAAATAAATGAAGGAAGGAAAGCATCCAGAAAAAAAAATAAGTTTAATGGACATGATTCATTGTAGGAGACATGACCTCATTCCTTATTAGAGGGATTTCCACTAAACCATGTTTAATGTTAAATAAATTTATTTTACAGACTTTCCTCACAATTATACTAATTCGATTTATTATTTGCTTGGTATTATAAAGTAAAGAGATACAAGAAAAAAATTTAGATATTGTTACAGCTTCCTCAGATGACAATTGTTCCCAGGCTCCTCACCCTCATCCGTCATAATAAAGGATTAAGAAAGCAGAAATCATAAGCATAAAGATTAGTTCTCTCCAGAAGTGAAATGTGGGTAGCTATGTGGATGTCTGTGAGTGAAGCAAATTAAGTTTTGATTATTTAAAATTTTAGCATTTAAATTGTTGATTTGTATAATTAAATTGATTTTACTTAAAAGTGATTGAATAAATGATTAAAATTTAAAGATTAAGCTGAAATTAAGATGTTTGCAATAAACACAAGCAGCAGGTAATGTGATATAGGCTCTAAGATATGAAATGTCTTGCCAAATAAGTTTGAGACTTCCAGCAAGTCTTTTCCTTAGGATTTTTGCTTTGGTAATTGATATATAGAGTGATAATATTTCTGGAACACTTGGTATATGCCAAACACCATTGTAAGTATCTTCTTTAATCCTCACAAAAATCCTGGGGAGGAAGTAAAATTATTATCCCCATTTTAGAAGCATGGAAACCGAAGCTCTAGAGGTTAGGTAGCTTGCCCAAGGTCAGACAGTTGGTGTGTATAGATCTGGGAATGGGGCCCAAAATCCTGTCTGACTCTGCTCAAAGACAGTTCTCATTCACTCACTAAACAGACTTAATTATGTGGTTATGATTATTAATCCATGTTTGATCAGATCTTTTCAACAGTTACACATTTGAATATTTTTGCATTAGCCTTTTCATTCATTTATATTTCAGGTGACCATGTGGATACAAGATTGCCATCTGTATTTATCTTGCTACAGATAGTCAAGCATCTCTATCTTTTTTTTTTTAAACAAAAACACCTCTCAAATTTGCATCTTATATCCTCTTTTAAACAGACAGATACATGGACAGAATCTAAAAACTAAATCCTCTCATCCTCTGCCTTTCTCTCTTTCCCTCTTTTTCTGTTCTTCTTTCAGATGTATTTCTTCATAGGACCTATTAATATCTATTGGCCATGCTTACTGCATCTAATTAGTGTCAGGCCCAGAAGAGGTACTAGTGTATTCATTCAGTTATTGGCTGTATGCTTACAAATTGCCTGGTCTTTCAGAAGGTAGAAAGGGAGGAGGGGCCAAGAATGCAAGACAGGATTTTGAGGGATTCAGTAGCATACAACAGGCAAAGGGCTGTGCCTTTAAAGACTTTTTGTTGTTATTGCTGCCCCTCCCATTTACCCTGGTCTCTTCCTTTTTGCATTTGTGCCACAGTTAGTGGCCATGGGAGTGGTCATCTATAGCTCTGCCAAAGATGGGAAGAAGAAGGCAGTCAGTCTCAAATCAGTCCCTGTCATTGCTTATTCACAGTGCCTGTACCAGGAGGGTTAAGAAATTAGAAATAAAATTATTCTGAAGGGGATCATATGTGACTCGTTAATCCATGTGATTTCGGATGCTCATTGTCACTGAAAATTGAGTTGGCTAAGTCTGTTTAACTTTTGTGATTAAGGATCAGCTTTAGGATTTGATGTTCTAGAGGCCCAGAGGATAAAAGGATTGTGCTCAGCCATCCTCCCGCTTCCACCCACACAGGCAGCTGACACTTAGCGCTTTGTCCCTGGCCAACTAGCAGTTCACCATCTCCCTCCAAACACTGGCAGGGAAGCCACACAGCTGTAATGGGGAATAGGACAACATCTGGCAAGCCCAACCCACCGAGTCCCACTGCCATCAGTGACAGGCAAGGCTGCAATCAGTGTCTTAACACCCAAGGTGCCCAGAGGGGCAGGCCCAACCACAGAGAACCACCTGGCTTCTTATTAGCTAGTTTTGCCTTTTTATTTTATTTTACATAGTTCCATAGTTAAGCTCTTACCATCTAATGTTTCTCAAATGCAAATATTAAGGCATCTTGTAAGTGTGTAAATATATTTTCAATTTCATAACAAGCACCTACTCATTTATCTTTGTACCAGGACTTCTTAGCACTCAATGGGGTGCCACACTCTTTTCCTGGGTTCCAGCACACAACAAGATTCTGGTAATGCCATGTTCTCTCTTCAACCCCTCAGCCTCACAGTGCTGATGGCTCCCACTGTTGCTAGGAGGCCTTGACTCATTGACTCTTGTCACTCTGCCCATACTTTTTTAAAATCCTCACCCAAGGACATTTTTTTTCATTGCTTTTTGAGAGAGGATAAGGGAGAGAGAGAGGGGGAGAGAAGCAGCAATGTGAGAGAGAAGCATTGATTGGTTGCCTTCTCACACACCCCCTGACTAGGGATCGAACCTGCAACCTGGGCTTATGGGACATGCTCCAACCAACTGAGCCACATGGGCCAGGACATTTCCCACACTTCTTTTTAATAAAGATTTTATTCATTTTTTTTTACAGAGATGGAAAAGGGAGGGAGAAGGGGAGGAAGGGAAACATCGATTAGTTGCCTCTCACACGTGCCCCAACCTGGGCTGGGGCCTGCAACCCAGGCATATGCCCTGACTGGGAATCAAATAGGAATAGAACCTGCAACTTTTTGCTTTGTGGGCATCATCCAGCCAACTGAGCCATGCCAGTCAGGGCTGCCCAACTTTTTGACCAAAAAGTTCCAATGAATGTGCCTTGCTTTTCCTCCTCCGATCGTGCCTGTCTCATACTCACTCCATCATGATGTGGCCCCTACTCACACCTCCTGTTTAAGCTGTGGCCTCTCCTTTTGTGTCCTTTTTCTCTCATACAGCAAACCCCTCTCCCCCACATACTTTGGCACTCGAGTATGTTGTTCTTTCTGTCAAGAATATTCTGTGAGGACTTCCTCAGGCTTCTTCCACATTGTATTTGAATCATCATGTTGCCTTTCCAAAACTGGGAGTTCCTTGAGATAAAAAATCATGTCTTACTCGTGAAAAAGCTAATGCAAAAACATTTAAATGCATACCTGTCAAAAGATCTGACCAAA